AAAATAGGCCATAATATGGCGAGTGTCCAGGACCAGTCTAAGCATATAAAATCGTTACTGCTCCTTCCTGTAATGTGTTCTTTGGTCCTGGGTAAGAGAAAACAGGAGTTTTTGAGAGGCTAACTGCACTGGATCACTAGTGCAGTGATATATGAATATCTCAGAAGTTATTGACTTATTTCCTGAAACCCACCATTTATTATTTAAGTAAATGCAATAATATTGACAGGAATCATAAAAAAAAAGTATTGTTCTACAATTGGCGTGTCGAATATTGGAAATATTCCATATATTTTGAGATTTATGTGGGAGTAAAGGGCAAGGTATTTTGCAAATGTCAAAAACTTAGCAACTTTATTTTTTTGTAGAATAACTAAAGATAATTACACGATTACCTCCAGTGAGAACATCGCACTAGCATTGTTTTATAAGTACCAAGTCTCAAAACCACCTTTTGTTGTGCCATTTAGGCTGGGGTTCTTGCCAAATGTCTTTTTCAGTCAATTTTTTTTTTTTTTTTGCTCTTAACTCGGATTTTGGCTTGCAACTCATAGCAAAAAATCAACTGAGCGACGGCTCATAACTTGGAAAACTCATAAGTTGGTGCACTTGTAAATCAAGGTACTGTACTTACCATCCGACTTACAACCAAGTTTGGTTCCGACCAACCGGTTGTAAGTCAAAATGGACGTAAGTCGAACCTTAGAAAATTGCCGATGTACTGGGTAGTAGTAGTAGTTATACATGTGGTGGAAAAGTCAGCTGGTACATGAGAAAGAGAGCTTACAAAAGCTATGGCTTGGGTAGCATGAAAAATAGGTTGGGCAAATGTTTATGGATGGATTTGAGAAGGCATGCTTCAATGTCCTTTATAGAAAAGGGTAACATTGTCCAGTACTTCCTTCTTATAACATTGAAGGTGGGTTGGGCAAATGTTCTGTTAGTGGAATGTATTTGTGAAGGACCTGCCTAGTATAGGCCAACAGGCCTGTTGCAGTGTTCCTCCTTTCTTATATTCTTATTAATGTTGAAGAAGAGTACAGTGACAAGCAACCTTTTCTATAAAGGACACTGGAACATGCCTTCTCAAATCCATCCATATACATTTGTCCAACCTATTTTTTATCCTACCCAAGCCATAGCTTTTGCTGCATCTGACTGTGCGACTGGCAGCCCTGTTGCCAGATGCATGGTCGTAAGTCGAGTGGTTGTATGGCAAGCAGGTTGTAAGTTGGATGGTAGGTGTATTATTATTATATTCGGAGGGAGTGCTAATTCCATAGGAGTCGCCCACAGTCTGAGGAAATGGGAGGCAATAAACTTTGATCAAAGGATGAGGAGGTCATGTCCAATTTCTAGAATCAAGAGCTACTTGCTGACATCAGGGAACCTCCCTTGAGAAGTTTATTAAGTACAATGGACCCTCGACCAACGGCTTTAATCCATTCCAGAGAGCTAGCCTTTAGTCGAATTTGCCATTAGTCGAATTAATTTTCCCCATAAGAAATAATGGAAATAGAATTAATCCGTTCCAGACACCCAAAAGTATATTACACAAAATAATTCTTTTTTACATGAAATATACATTTCCCTACACAAAAACGAATGGGACATGCAAAATAAACAATAATTAAATGGCACATATCTTTATTGTGGAGTTGTTGATGAGTGATGTGCCAGCAGCAGGGGAGATTGAGGTCTTTTATTGTTTGGAAGGGAAATCCCTTTCCATAAAGACTTCAGGTACGTGTACTAAGTCCTTTGGTGGGGTTACTTCCCTTCTTGGTTTTTTAATGCCACTAGGACCAGCTTGAGAGTCACTGGACCACTGTCACACCAAAAATCTGTCCAGAGAGCTCTGTTTCTCACGTGCCCTTAGGATTTCCCAAAAATGGGACACAAGAGTGTCATTGTACATGTTGCCAATATGGCTAGCAACAGCTGTGACAGGATAAAATTCATTAATAAATGTTTGCACCTTTGTAAACATTGTACACATTTCCCTAATCCTTGATGAAGGCATCTTCCTCCATCTCTCTTTCTCCTGCTCTGAAGAACATTCCTGAGATGTGATCTGTTGCTATTGCACCTCAAGCTCTTGCAGGTCTGCAGTGGTTAGTTCTTCCTCGTCGTTCTGCACCAACTCTTCCACATCCTCGCGCCACTAACCTCCAATCCCAAGGACTTCCCCAATGACATAATAGCTTCCACTACTGGCATAGGCTCCTGAGGATTAGCCCCAAACCCTTCCAAAATCCCTCTCTTGTACACATTGTGGCCACAGTTTCCTCCAAGCAGAGTTCAAAGTCCTGGTAGTCACTCCCTCCCAAACCTTACCTATAAGGTTTATGCAACTGAGGATGTTGAAGTGATCTTTCCAAAACTCTCTTAGGGTCAATTGAGTGTCTGAGGTCACTTCAAAGCACTTTTGAAATACTGCTTTGGTGCAGAGTTTTTTGAAGTTTGAAATGACCTGCTGGTCCATGGGCTGGAGGAGAGGAGTTGTATTAGGAGACAAAAACTTCACTTTAGCGAAGCTAAACTCCCCTGCAATTTGCTCTTGCAAGTCGTGAGGATGAGCAGGAGCATTGTCCAGTACCAGGAGGCACTTGAGTGACAATTTCTTTTTCTGGAGGTAATTTTTCTCAGTGGGGCCAAACACACCATAAAACCAGTCCATGAAAAGTTCCCTAGTGACCCATGCCTTATGTTTGATTTCCACAGCACACACAAATTACCCTTGACGATATTGTTTTTCCTGAACACTCTGGGAGTATCAGAGTGATACACCAATAAAGGCTTCACTTTACAATCACCACTAGCATTACTACACAACATTAATGTCAGCCTGCCTTTCATAGGCTTATGTCCTGGGAGTGCCTTTTCCTCCTGAGTAATGTAGGTCCTGTTTGGCATTTTCTTCCAAAACAGGCCCGTTTCATCACAATTAAACACTTGTTCAGGTTTTAAGTTTTCAGTGTCTGTGTATTCCTTAAAGTCCTTCACATATTTTTCAGCCGCTTTTTTGTCTGAACTGGCTGCCTCACCATGCCTTACCACACTGTGTTTGCCACTACGATTCTTAAATCTCTCAAACCAGCCTTTGCTGGCCTTAAATTTATCAAAATCATCATTATTTTGAGTCATTTTCTTAACTAGATCATCATGCAACTTCCTTGCCTTTTCACATATTACTGATTGAGACACACTGTCTCCTGATAATTGTTTTTCGTTTATCCATACCAACAACAGTCTCTCTACCTCTTCAATTATTTGCAGTCTCTATTTTGAAAACATACTTGCATCTTTCGCAACAACAGCTTCCTTGATTGCCTTTCTGTTCGCCAAGATAGTACTGATGGTTGAACTCAGACATATGCACTCCACTTTTGTATTTTTCAATGATCTCTTTCTTCATTTCCATCATAATTCTCACCCTTTGTACCACAGGCTTGGCACTAGAAGTTTTTTGGGGCCCATGGTGGCTTATTTAGCAGTTACAAGCACTAAAAACACTGGAATAATACAAAATATATCGCAGGTACACATGGAATCGACCGCAACAGCTTGTAAACAATGGCACATTGAGTCTTGGAGTGGCTGGGCCCGCTCAGGCTGCACTCCGGCTGCATGGACACGTTAGGGACAAAAGCCGTTAGATGAGGTTTTTGCCATTGGTAGAGCCATTTTTTTATGCCAAAGAGTGCCGTTAGACGAATTTGGCATTAATGTACTTGATGCAGCCATTGGTCGGGGGTCCACTGTATACAGTGGAACCTCTACTTACAAGTTCCCCAATGTGCAAGTTTTTCAAGATACGAGCAGCTGCTCGGTCGACTTTTTGCTTCCGGATGCGAGTGGGCCTCAAGGGAGGTTCCTTGATGCTAGTGAGAGGCTCTTGCTCTTGATTTAGAGAATTGGATCTCAGTTGTTTGCTGGACTATCTTATTAAAACTTGGGCAATGTATGATGGAAAGAAGCTTCTTAACCCTTTCAGGGTTGGTGCCGTACTAATACGGCATGCACGCCAGGGTTGGTGCCATACTGGTATACATAAATTCTAGCTCCTTCAAATCTAGCGAGAGAAAGCTGGTAGACCTACATATGAAAGAATGGGTCTATGTGGTCAGTGTGTGCAGTATAAAAAAAATCCTGCAGCACACAGTGCATAATGAGAAGAAAAAACTCCGACTGTGTTTTTGGTTTAACCCATAAACAGTCCAAACGTATATATACGTTCTCTCATGTAGCGCCCCAAACGTACATATACATTTCCTTTGTCATTCATTCAACATTGGCATGATAGGCCTGAGTTGCCTAGACATGAGAGATTGGGTGTGCACACTCAGTGTGTGCCATATGAAAAAAATGGGGGACGCCTGGGTACCAAATGCTCTTTTTTCCTATTAAAAAAAACTTTTTCTTAAAATATTCGGGGCGCTACGCACATGAACGTATACATATGTTTGGACCGTTTAGGGGTTAAAACAGTGACTTTGCAGTGTATTTTCGTACATGTATAATAATAATGTACTATAATAATAATTATAATAATAGACGGCTTCAAAAGGCTGTCACTAGATGGCAGTGAGTACCACAACAATGCGGGAGCAGTTATGGCCACCTCCACCTGTCACATAATGACATATTTTATTCATTCTGGAGTATATATCAGGTTTCTATGTTATTTATATTGTTTATTATGTCATATTAGATGAATTTTGATAGATAAATAATCCGTAGAGTTGATATTAGGGATATATTGAAGTATTCTGTCGTACCTGGAATTCCACTGGAACAGATTAATTCCATTTCAGTTAATTTAAATGAGGAAAATTGACTCAACAGATGAGCAAATCGAGATGCGAACAAGGTCACGGAATGGATTAAACTTGTAAGTCGAAGTTCCACTGTATATGTAAACAGCATGCTGTACTGTAATATAAGAATGACCTCTTTAAAAACATACTCTAATATATGTTTTGCCTATAAACACACAGAGAAGGAAGGTTCCTTATCAGGGGAGCCCCAGAGAGTCTCTCCTAAAGTGTCAGTGCTGACTCCGTCTACAACAGGACACATAGGTATATCTACGGGTTCTGCACCGCCAGTTGTCACCATTGCACCGACCCACTCCCATGTTACTACTACTGAGGCTGACCGAGGAGCGAGTGTTAATGAGGAGTTGGTGAGAGGTTTCCAACCTTATCGCCCTCCAGATGTGCAAGCCACACCTCCTTCAGCCACACCTGGAGCATCTCTTCGACCTCCAATACCTTCATTAGATCTCCCTCATTCATACCCAGCATACCATCCTTCACTCTACCCTCATCATTTGGCTCACCAGTACAGGTTTGTATCATATTAGTACTATCATAATTCAGTATTGATAAATGTTAAAAATTAAATTCTTACTTGGCTACTCATTATTTTATTTTGACATACAGCTTGTTACAGCATTTTAATTCAGTATATTGGAGTACACTATACCTTTCTCTTTGTTTAACCTTAGGCTAACTTCTCATGGCCAGGAGTTTTCAGAAACATTAAAGTTTACAATATTTCCATGTTGAAAAATCCTTTTGTTTACATAAAATGTCTTGTGTTATTTGACCAAACAAATAAATTAAATCCAAATAGTTTTTGGCAGCAACAAAATTTACAGATACATTTTTATCAGGTGATTAAACCTGAGAAATAACATTGTATTTCTTAAACCTGTATAGCTAGCTGTAGTTGTAGTCAGTTCTTAAAATAGCTGGTTGTCTATTAAAATTCTCACTAATAGAAACACTGCATTTAATGCAGCCTGATGAAATGTGCGATGCACTACATTATATACAGTATGTGCCTTTATGGACCTTCTCTAAAATATGTGGATGTAAGAAATATGGAAATAAACCTTCCAGACTCCTAACTGGCTTACACCTGTTCTCTGTATCACATGCTCAGAAACCCTATACTATGTCTGGGCTTATTTTTAGTCAATATGTTGGCTTAAAAGTATAAATTTCGCTCCTTGATGCATTAATGAGCAATATTTTTTAATGAAGATCTGTTCCACAAGCAAAAATGTTTCAAATTTTTTCTTTTATAGTTTAGTATTGGTTATGATACCATATATTGTTGGAAGACAAAGAACTTGTAAAAAGGCATATGTAATGGAAACTAAAAAAGTGTGTAGGATTAAAGTTACTTAATAGTGTAGCAAATTCCTTCACTTTTCTGCTGAAAGTACGAAATGTTGGTGGCATAAGAAAAAATAAAATATTATGTCACCAATAGATGTGATATGCTTCTCTGTCTCCTGTAGACTGGAGGAGCAGTTGTACCTAGAACGTTACGGGTTACTTCGGCCACCACTAAGCCCCTACAGTGTTGGAGGTCTCTCTGGGATGTATCCTGGGGCAGCCAGCTCTCCATACCTCTCTTCAAGATTTCCCCCTGACCTCTTACCCACCTCCTTAGCTGCTCTTCATCCATCTTCTGCATTGCTCCATGAGAGGTTAGTGAAATGTGATGAGTTTTATTCAAAACTATTATCTTTATTTTCATTAGGAAGCATTAAACTTTAGGGGTCAAACACTGCCTGGGGAATGAGAGATAATTGAGTTGGTTCGAGGGAAGAGGAGGATAGTTGCATTCACTTGGATCAAGGTCCCTTGACTGGCATCAAGATATTTTGCTTGAAAGAATTTCAAGTCTGAGCTGTAGATAGTGAAAATTTCTATGGGTGAGATGATCTATTGAGAAGATTGTCCTATTTTCTGAGGTGGGAAAGAATAATGTGAAGATCCTGCTAGATAATAGAGGTTAACTTACTATATAAAAGGATTAGTATAATTGTAAATGCACTTCATTTCAGTAATAGCACATCTTCTTCTGCTTTAAACAAACTGGCCATTTCCCACCGAGGCAGGGTGGCCCAAAAAGAAAAACGAAAGTTTCTCCTTTTAAATTTAGTAATGTATACAGAAGGGGTTACTAGCCTCTTGCTCCTGGCAGTTTAGTTCTCTCTTACGACACACATAAGTAATAGCACATATTATTTACAAAGTAAATTCCATTTTAGCTAGATTATCCATTCCTTTAAGTCCTCTTCCCCTTCCACCCAAGATTGAAATCCTGGCTGCACCACTGCTTGTAGATATGCTATTTAGTTAGTACATAATAAGTCACCCTATCTTGGTGAGAGATGACCAGTGTGTTAAGAAGAAAATAATAAGTTGCCACTTTAAGTCTTGGTAATTGTAATTCACTTTACAGTCGTGTGCAAATTAATTTGGACAGGAGTAAATTTTGTGATTATTTTGTACCATGTCTTAGTCTCCGTCTTAATTAATGTATGTAGTTTGGGTTCTTTTCTTTTCAGAAGATTTTGCTACTGACCTCTGACAACCATCTAGCTGTGGTGTTACCCTGTTGTTCTGTAAGGCTATTCCTGCAAGTATGCTTCATGAGTCAGTGTGGTTTCACGAAATTCTCCCCTTCAATTCATGATCACTGCTGAAATTCATGATGGATGTTGCACCTAGGAAGCATGCAAGTATTGTAGCTCTTAGACAACATGCTGATTTGAGTATCAGACAGATTGCTGAAAATTTGAGCTAGTAAAGTCAACTATTGGTAGGATTCTGAAGAGAGCTGACTCTTCTGGTGATTGTAGAGTGCTGCATTGAGGAATATGTGGAAGAAAACACAAGACAACACCTCACGATAATAAGGTTATCACAAGAAACAGTGTAAAGGATCCTCAAAAAAAACGCAAAGATCTACAGTGAGATTTGGCCTCAGCTGTTCAACAAAGGCTCCTTGAAGTTGGCAGAACTGCCAGAAAGCCGGTAAAGAAACAATTATTGACTGGTACTATGAAGAAAAAACGGCTGCAGTGAGCTGGACAACAGATGAATGGAGAAGTTATATTTTCATATGAATATGTGGGAACAATATGAATATGTGGGAACAATGGGCTAGTAACCCCTTTTCCTGTAAAGATTACTAAAAAGAATAAGAAGAAGAAAATTGTCAAAGTGGGAAGTCTGAATGTGCGTGGATGTTGTGCAGATGATAAGAAAGAGATGATTGTGGATGTTATGAATGAGAAGAAGCTGGATGTCCTGGCTTTAAGTGAAACAAAGCTGAAGGGGGTGGGAGAGTTTCAGTGGAGAGGAATAAATGGGATTAGGTCAGGGGTTTCAAATAGAGTTAGAGCTAAAGAAGGAGTAGCAATAATGTTGAAGGATAAGCTATGGCAGGAAAAGAGGGACTATAAATGTATTAATTCAAGGATTATGTGGAGTAAAATAAAGATTGGATGTGAAAAAGTGGTTATAATAAGCGTGTATGCACCTGGAGAAGAGAGAAGTGAGAGGAGAGAGAGAGATTTTGGGAAATGTTGAGTGAATGCGTGGGGAGTTTTGAATCAAGTGTGAGAGTAATGGTGGTTGGGGATTTCAATGCTAAAGTGGGTAAAAATGTTATGGAAGGAGTAGTAGGTAAATTTGGGGGCCAGGATAAATGTAAATGGGGAGCCTTTAATTGAGCTATGTGTAGAAAGAAATTTGGTAATAAGTGATACATATTTATGAAAAAGAGGATAAATAAATATACAAGGTATGATGTAGCACGTAATGAAAGTAGTTTATTAGATTATGTATTGGTGGATAAAAGGTTGATGGGTAGCTACAGGATGTACATGTTTATAGAGGGGCAACTGATATATCGGATCATTATTTAGTTGTAGCTACAGTTAGAGTAAGAGGTAGATGGGAAAAGAGGAAGGTGGCAAAACAAGTAAGAGGGAGGTGAAAGTGTATAAACTAAGGGAGGAGGAAGTTCGGGGTGAGATATAAGCGACTATTGGCAGAAAGGTGGGCTAGTGCAAAGATGAGTAGTGGGGGGGTTGAAGAGGGTTGGAATAGTTTTTAAAAATGCAGTATTAGAATGTGGGGCAGAAGTTTGTGGTTATAGGAGGGTGGGGGCAGGAGAAAGAGGAGTGATTGGTGGAATGATGAAGTAAAGGGTGTGATAAAAGAGAAAAAGGTAGCTTATGAGAGGTTTTTACAAAGCAGAAGTGTTATAAGAAGAGCAGAGTATATGGAGAGTAAAAGAAAGGTAAAGAGAGTGGTGAGAGAGTGCAAAAGGAGAGCAGATGATAGAGTGGGAGAGGCACTGTCAAGAAATTTTAATGAAAATAAGAAAAAATTTTGGAGTGAGTTAAACAAGTTAAGAAAGCCTAGGGAAAATATGGATTTGTCAGTTAAAAACAGAGTAGGGGAGTTAGTAGATGGGGAGATGGAGGTATTGGGTAGATGGCGAGAATATTTTGAGGAACTTTTAAATGTTAAGGAAGAAACAGAGGCAGTAATTTCATGCACTGGTCAGGGAGGTATACCATCTTTTAGGAGTGAAGAAGAGCAGAATGTAAGTGTGGGGGAGGTACGTGAGGCATTATGTAAAATGAAAGGGGGTAAAGCAGGGGGTAAAGGAGGTTTTGTGGGTAAGGGGCTTGGACTTCCAGCAAGCGTGCGTGAGCGTGTTAGATAGGAGTGAATGGAGACGAATGGTACTTGGGACCTGACGATCTGTTGGAGTGTGAGCAGGGTAATATTTAGTGAAGGGATTCAGGGAAACCGGTTATTTTCATATAGTCGGACTTGAGTCCTGGAAATGGGAAGTACAATGCCTGCACTTTAAAGGAGGGGTTTGGGATATTGGCAGTTTGGAGGGATATGTTGTGTATCTTTATATGTGTATGCTTCTAGACTGTTGTATTCTGAGCACCTCTGCAAAAACAGTGATAATGTGCGAGTGTGGTGAAAGTGTTGAATGATGATGATGAAAGTATTTTCTTTTTGGGGATTTTCTTTCTTTTTTGGGTCACCCTGCCTCGGTGGGAGATGGCCCGACTTGTTGAAAAAAAAAAAATGTGGGTACAGATCAGTGGTAGTGAGATGGAACACAGGCCAACCTCTTCAGAATGGACACATTCAGCAATTGCCAAAACGCCCACCTAAGAAGATATTTTGGAGTAATTTTACTGCTAAAGCCCCTGGACAGTTTGTTATTGTTTAGGGAATGATGACCAGGGACAAATACAAGGCAGTCATGGTAAATCCTAGGCATTAAGTTGAAAATAGGAATTTGGTAATTATCCTAGTATATAAACCGTCATCAGCAACTGCTGAGGAATTCACAGATCAGTTAAAGAAGATAGATAGCCATCTGGATAGGCTAGAAAATCCCACACCAAATATTTTACTCTTTGAAGATATTAATCTCCCTCATGTAAAATGGCACAACACAATGTTATACCAGAAATATCTCCGGGAAGCACCCTGGCTCAACAGGCACATACCAGAGAACTAATGAGGCTTTGTGAAAAGTACTCATCGAACCAACAGATAATTGCTCCCACTAGAAATGAAAATCCCTGGATTTGATATTCACAAACAAAGAGGAACTAATCAGAGACATAACAGTTACAAAACCAATATATTCTGATCACAACATCAACTCAGGGTTAGGTGTGTGTGTGTGTGTGTGTGTTAGATAGTGAATGGAGGCATGTGCAGTTGGAGTCTGCCTAATGTAACCTTTATGAAGATATTCGGAGAAACTGGTTGGCCAGACTTGAGTCCTGGAGGTGGGAAGGGCTGTGCCTTCACTCTGAAGGAGGGATGGAGTAATCCAAATTATGATATTAGGACAATTTTGGCAAGAAATTGATTGAACGAATAATGACAAATGTTTTTTTTTCTTTGAGTCTCCCTGGTAAGAGATGGCCATTGAAGTAAAAAAATTATTATTATTCCTACTACATTATAATAATATCAGCTTTAGAAATAAAGCATTGAGTAAATATATGAGGTGATGATTACTGTGCATAAAAAATTATTGTACCAATGATTTTTTATTACAGTACTGTCCTGTACTTACCTGTGATCTGTAGATTGTTATAGAGGTTTTATCTAGCTTTATATTTTGTATGAAGCATCTAATTATTTTTGTAGATTTTCACAATAAATTTCACTGTTTTCTGGCTTATAGTACACAGCACACACTAATATTTTTTCTAATTACTGTACTTAATTCTAGATTAAAATTGGAGGAGGATATGCGTCAACGAGAATATGAACTTGAACTCAGGCGAGAACGAGAACTCGAAAGAGAGAGAGAAAGAGAACGTGAAAGAGAAAGAGACCGTGAAAGAGAAAGAGAAAAGGAAAGGGAGAGAGAAAGAGAAAAGGAAAGAGAACGAGAGAGAGAACGTGATAAGGAGAAAGAAAGAGAAAGAGAAAGGGCACGTGAAAAAGAGAGAGAGAGGCAACGGCAGAGGGAACATCATGAACCTGATCGAATCAAAGAAGGTAAGCCCTCATGATTCATGGAACACTCAGTGCTCAAACTCTTTACCTCTTATTATGAAATTGTTAGAACAGTATTTGTATCTCATACCTGGACGTACAGTATGATATATATCCTACATATGTATGCAGACATTGTTATGGGTTAAACCTTGAGATGTTTCATGAAAGATCATCATTATTAATTGTAAGCCCTGATGCTTTGTTTATCTTTGCTACAGTTTAATACCCAAAACTTTTATTGAAATTGGTCTTCCTGTTTTGGTACTCACTTCAGCCTTCATTTGTGTCCTAACTTTTCTAGAATTAAGCTATTTATTTTTTATATTGCGAAGGTTCATTGAAGTGGTCATTTCATCATGGATGTATTTTATACCCACTCAGAGAGACATCAGTAAAATGGAAAATAATGATTTGATATTGTTGGGTGAGGGTCATTTGAATGATTTTAATTGTTGAAAAGCTATTTGATAATACAGTGGAACCCTGAATATTGGCTGTAATCTGTTACAGAAGGTCAGCGTAAATTCGAAAAGGTTAAATTTGGAGCAATATTTCCCATAAGAATTAATGTAAATACAATTAATCCGTACCAGAAACCCAAAAATAATAAAAAAAAGATACAGTTTGTAAAGTTTAACTATAGTTTTACATACACAAAACAATGATAAATAAATATTAATAAATATAAACATTACGTAACCCTTGTTGAAGACTCTTGTTGGCATATGGAAGAAGGCAAGGAGGGGAGAGGGAGTTGAGGTTATTGTTTGGAAGGGGAATCCCCCTCCATAATGACTTCAGGTAACAAGTCCTTATCCAGGGTTACTTCCCTTCTTTGTCTTTTAATGGCACTAGGACCAGCTTGAGAGTCACTGGACCCATCACACAAACTATCTGTCCAGAGAGCTCTGTTTCTGGTGTGTCTTTAAGATTTGCCTGAAGTGGGCCAAGGTTTTGTCACTGAACATGTTGCAGATATGGCTTGTTTCAGCTTGGTCAGGGTGATATTTCTCAGCAAAAGCTTGCACCCTACTCCACATTGCACAAATCTTTTTAATCTCTGAAGAAGGCACCTCCTTGTAGATGAATGGTTCAGAGAACCGACACTTTGATAAATTAGACACATGTGCAACTCTTGGGAATTTCCAAGAGTTGCACATATGTCTAAATTTATCAAGGCACCTCCTTCCCTCTTTCTTCCTCCTCCTCTGAAGCAAGTTCCTCAGCTGTGGTCTGTTGCTGTTCCAATTGAAGGTGTTGCAGCTCTTCATTGGTTAGCTCTTCCCTGTGGTCCTCCACCAACTCTTCCACATCCTCGTCACTCACATCCAACCCCATAGACTTCCCCAAAGATACAATAGATTCCACAACAGGCAAGGGTCATCAGGATCAGCCTCAAACCCTTCAAAATCATTCTCGAGACACATTCTGGCCATAATTTTCTCCAAGTAGAGTTCAAAGTTCTGGGAGTCACTCCTTGCCAAGACTTACCTATAAGGCTTATGCAGTTGTAGATATTGAAGTGATTCCTCCAGAACTCTCTTTGAGTCATATCAATATCCGGGGTCACTTCAAAGCACCTTTGAAACACTGCTTTTGTGTATGAGTTTTTTGAAGTTAGAAATGACCTACTGGTCCATGGGCTGGATGAGAGGAGTGGTGTTAGGAGGCAAGAACTTCACTGTTATAAAACTGAAATCCCTAGACAATTGGTCTACCAAGTTTGGAGGATGAGCAGGGGCATTGTCCATTACCAGGAGGCACTTGAGTGGCTATTTTCCTGGAGGCATTTTTTCACATTTGGGCCAAACACTTCTTGGACCCAGTCAATTAAAATTTGCCTTGGGACCCATGCCTTATTGTTAGCCCTCCACATCACACACAATCTACTCTTGACAACATTGTTTTTCTTGAACACTTTGGGATTTTTAGAGTGATACACCAGTAAAGGCTTCACTTTGAAATCCCCACCAGCATTAGTACAGAAGAAAAGAGTTAACCTATCCTTCATAGGCTTGTGTCCTGGCAGTGCCTTTTCCTCCTGCTTGATTTAGGTCCTCTCTGGCATTTTCTATCAAAAGAGGCCTGTTTTGTCACAACTGAACACTTGTTGGGGTTGGAATTCTTCACTCTCTATGCACGCCCTTGAATTTCTGCACAAATTTTTCAGCTGCATGTTTGTCTGAACCTGCAGCCTCACCATGCCTTACAACACTGTGTATGCCACTGTGCTGCTTAAATCTGTCAAACCAGTCTCTGCTGGCCTTAAATTCACTACATCAGCACTAGTTCCAGGCATTTTCTTTGAGATCCGCATGCAACTGCCTTGCCTTTTCACAAATGATCGTCTCTGAAACAGTATCTCTCGCTAACTGTTTCTCGCAGATCCACAACAAAAACTTCTCCACATCTTCCATTGTCTGTGATCTCTTTTTCGTTAACATGTTTACCCCTTTCGCCACATCAATTTCCTTGATTTGTTCTTTCTCTGCCAGGATGGAAGTGATTGTTGATTTGGATTTCCCATACATCCTGACAAGTTCCAGCACCCGCACATGACTCTCATATTTTTCAATAGCTTCTTTCTTAAATTCCATCGTGTTTCTCACTTTCTTTACCAAAGGGCTGGCACTCTGAAATTTCTTTGGGCCCATGGTGGCTTATTTCACAGTTGCAATTAATAAATAAGCACAAAAACCAATGGATTTTAAGGAAATGTTTGGATGAATGCATGGAGTATATGCTCATACTCCAAGGGACACCAGAGACTGACTCACCTATGCGTGGCATCCTGGCGGGAGGCGGGCTGATGCGTATAATACGGATGATTTACAAGGCACCAGCCGATATATGGAGCAGAATTTCCTCCCCAAAACTGGACTAAGTATGAATCGGCCGATAAACGCAGCGGCCGATATTTGGGGTTTCACTTTATTAATTACAGCCACCCAGGAAATTTTTAACTATTGTTCAGTACTTGGGGACTAATTGATTAATTCGTTAATTTTAAATCTAGTCTTTTTCTTATCCAAATTTATAGAGCGAAGCCAGTGCCATGAAAGAAATAGAGATCGAAGCCCTATAACTCAGAGTGTTGGTAGTAGTGTTGCTGTGCCTATAACCACACTTAGCACCAGTAGTGTAACTGTCACCAGCAACACTCATAACCGTAAGAATCAACCCATTGGTAAGTGTTTTTCTCAACGTCCATGTTATTTTTAAGCTGCATTAAGATGATTGGATATCACAGTTTATTCCAGATTTTTTGTGTATGTTCATGTGATTGCATAAAAGCACAAGTGTGTGTAGACAGATGTAATATAGTTTTTTTTCAACAAACTGGCCATATCTCACCAAGGCTGGGTGACCTAAAAAGGAAAACAAAAGTTTTTCTTTTTAAATTTAGTAATTTATACAGGAGAGGGGGTTACTAGCCCCATGCTTCCTGCATTTTAGTCGCCTCTTACGACACACGTGGCTTGAGGAGGAAGAATTCTTTTCCACTTCCCCATGGAGATAAGAAATAAAGAACAAGAATTATTAAGAAAATAGAAGAAAACCCAGATTGGTGTGTAAATATGTGTGTGTGTGAACATGAATATGTAGTGTAACCTAAGTGTAACTAGAAGTAGCAAGATATACTTGTTATCCTGTGTGTTTATGAGACAGAAAAAAGACACCAGCAATCCTACTGTCATGTAAAATAATTACAGGTTTCCATTTTACACTCATTTGGCAGGACGGTAGTACCTCTCTGGGTGATTGCTGTCTACCAGTCTGCTTACCTAGGATGCAATATAGTTAGCTGTTAGCATGTATTTAATTTGATAGTGCATATTACAGTAAAACCTCAATGTAATGGATTTTGGATTTAACTGGTTAGAGGTTGATGTCATAGTACTACAGCTCTGACCTCTTAGTCGGTTCCATAGAACTATATGATGAGCTCAGCTTACTCAGATGAGCTGCGAGCAGTAAATTTTTTGCATAGATATGAGAAAATGGGTCTATGTGCTAAGTGTGCACCATATAAAAAAATCCTGCCCCATGCAGTGCAAAATGGGGAAAAAAAAGACTTTTTTTTTTATTTAAAACAGCAACACTGCAGTCTACAGTGGTACCTCAAGTTACGAACTCAATTCGTTCCGGATGGCTGTTCGAGTGCCGATACCGAACAAATTTGTTCCCATAAGGAATAATGTAAATTAGATTAGTCCATTTCAGACCTCCAAAAATGCACTTTCAAAAATATGTTTACATAATTGTTCGAGTTAGGAGGTGTTCAAAACTCTTTTTTTTTTTTTTTTTTTTTTTTCAACAAGTTGGCTGTCTCCCACCAAGGCAGGGTGACCCAAAAAGAAAGAAAATCCCAAAAAGAAAATACTTTCTTCATCGTTCAACACTTTCACCTCACTCATACAGTGGACCCTCGACCAACGATTTTAATCCATTCCAGAGATCTTGTCCTTAGACGAATTTATCGTTAGCTGATTTAATTTTCCCCATAAGAAATAATGGAAATCCAATTAATCTGTTCCAGATAGCCAAAAGTATTAAAAAAATAATTTTTTTTACATGAAATATACATTTCCCTACAAAGAAAACAATGAGACATATACAATTAATACACAGATAAATAATAAAATGACACTTACCTTTATTGAAGAGTATTGATGAGTGATTTTCAGAGTGATACATGAGTAAAGGCTTCACTTTGCAATCCCCACTAGCATTACAACAAAACATGAGAGTTAGCCTGTCTTTCATAGGCTTGTGTCCTGGGAGTGCCTTTTCCTCCTGAGTAATGTAGGTCCTGTTTGGCATTTTCTTCCAGAACAAGCCTGTTTTGTCACAATTGAACACTTGTTGGGGTTGGAATTTTTCAGCATCGCCATGCGTTATCACACTGTGTATACCACTATGATTCTTAAATCTCTCAAACCAACCTTTGCTGGCCTTAAATTCACCAATGTGAGCACTAGTTCCAGGCAATTTTTTCCTGTTCACCTGGGTGTTAGTCGACTGGAGTGGGTCGCATCCTGGGGGACAAGATTAAGGGCCCCAGTGGAAATAAGTTAGACAGTCCTCAATAACGCACTAACTTTCTTTTCCTGGATGGCTAACCCTCTGGGATTAATTGTTTCTTGGTAATTGTTTCTCGTTAAGCCACACCACCAACAATCTTTCCACATCTTCGAATAGTACAGCTGACGGTGGTGCAGCAGCAGCTGACCGTGTTGCAGCAGCAGCTGACCATGTTGCAGCAGCAGCTGACGGTGGTGCAGCAACAGCAGCAGCTGACGGTGGTACAGCAGCAGCTGATGGTGATGCAGCAGCAGCTGATGGTGGTGCAGCAGCAGCTGACTGTGGTACAGCAGCAGCTGACAGTGGTACAGCAGCAGCTGACGGTGGTACAGCAGCAGCTGACTGTGGTACAGCAGCAGCTGATGGTGGCGCAGCAACAGCTGACCGTGGTATGATAGTATTTCGATAGTATTTCTCACCCTTTTTACCACAGGGTTGGCACCAGAAGTTTTCTTTGGGCCTATGGTGGCTTATTTAGCAGTTACAAGCACTAAAAACAATGGAATAATACAAAATATATTGCATGCATGCGTGAAACCGTCCACCCTAGCTTGTAAACAATGGCACACTAGCTGAAGGCAGGGCAGCTGAGGCGCTCAGGCTAGACGGACAGGCAGACGCATTCAGGAAGAATGTCCTTACCTGAGTTTTTCTTCGTTGGTTGAGCCAATATTTTTACGCAAAAACGCATCGTTGCCCGATTTTATCATTAGTCGATGCCATTGTTGGTCGAGGGTCCACTGTACATAATCACCGATTTTGCAGAGGCACCCAGATACAACAGTTTAGAAGCATATATAAAGATATATAACATATCCCTCCAAACTGCCAATATTCCAGACCCCTTCTTTAAAGTGCAGGCATTGTACTTCCCATTTCCAGTACTCAAGTCTGGCTATATAAAAATAACCGGTTTCCCTGAATCCCTTCACTAAATATTACCCTACTCACACTCCAACAGCTCGTCAGGTCCCAAAAACCATTCATCTTCATTCACTCCTATCTAACACGCTCACTCATGCTTCCTGGAAGTCCAAGCCCCTCGCCCACAAAACCTCCTTTACCCCCTCCCTCCAACCTTTTCAAGGATGACCTGTACCCCGCATTCCTTCCCCTACAGATTTATACGCTCTCCATGTCATTCTACTTTGCCCTTAGACAGGACATCTTCACTGCCTCCAACCGCCTCCTCGCTGCAGCATTTGCAACCCAAGCTTCACACCCATATAAGAGAGTTGGCACCACTATACTTTCATGCATTCTCTTCTCTGCCTCCATAGGTAACGTTTTTTTGTTTCCACGTATACCTCAACGCACCACTCACTTTTTTTTCCTTCATCAGTTCTCTGGTTAACCTCATCCTTCATAAACCCATCTGCTGACACATCAGCTTCCAAATATCTGAAAACATTCACTTCTTCCATAATCCCTCTCTCCAATGTGATATCCAATTTTCCTTTATCTAAATCATTTGATACCCTCATCACCTTACTCTTATCTATGTTCACTTTCAACTTTCTACCTTTACACACCCTCCCAAACTCGTCCACTAACCTTTACCAATTTTCTTGAGAATCTCCCAAAAGCACAGTATCATCAGCAAAAAATAACTGTGTCAACTCCCATTTTGTATTTGATTCCCCATAATTTAATCCCAACAACCTAGTATTTACTTCTTTTACAACCCCATCTATAAATATATTAAACAACCATGGTGACATTACACATCCCTGTCTAAGACATTCTTTTACTGGGAAGTAGTCTCCCTCTCTTCTACACGCTCTAGTCTTACTATCCTCATAAAAACTCTTTACAGCATTTAGTAACTTACTACCTATTCCATATACTTTCAACATCTGCCACATTGCTCCCCTATCCACTCTATCATATTCTTCTTTCATTCAACAAACCGGCCGTATCCCACTGAGGCAGGGTGGCCCAAAAAGAAAAACGGAAGTTTCTCTTTTTAAATTTAGTAATTTATACAAGAGAAGGGGTTACTAGTCCCTTGCTCCTGGCATTTTAGTCGCCTCTTACAACACGCATAGCTTATGGAGGAAGAATTCTGTTCCACTTCCCCATGGAGATAAGAGGAAATAAACAAGAACAAGAACTAGTAAGAAAATAGAAGAAAACCCAGAGGGGTGTGTATATATATATGCTTGTACATGTATGTGTAGTGTGACCTAAGTGTAAGTAGAAATAGCAAGACGTACCTGAAACCTTGCATGTTTATGAGACAGAAAAATGGACACCAGCAATCCTACCATCATGTAAAACAATTACAGGCTTTCGTTTTACACTCGCTTGGCAGGACGGTGGTACCTACTCTTATCATATGCCTTTTCTAAATCCATAAATGCAATGAAAACTTCCCTACCTTTATCTAAATACTGTTCACATATATGCTTCAATGTAAACACTTGATCTACACATCCCCTACCCACTCTAAAGCCTCCTTGCTCATCCGAAATCCTACTCTTTGTCTTGCCTCTAAACTCAAGGTACCACTGTATTTTCATATCTTTTCTATTGTTGTATTCTCATTTTCTTCAACTCATTTGATAGAATGGAAGATATATTACAGAAATAAAGACGATTTTGGTTGGTTTCAGAACTGAAAGTAGCAGAAACGTTCAGTTTTTGTTGATATTCCAGAGTACAGAAATTACATCTCTTGTCCAATATATGTCCAACTGGTTCCCAAATGTGCTGACATTATTTATACAATTATTACAATAATTCAGTAGTCTGCGTAACAGTAATTCTTCTATTTTTTGTGCGAATAAAAATTTGAAATGGAAAGGAGGCATAATATAGGAGAGGCCAGGGGATGTAACTAATGAACATTGGAAATGTTTTGTTAGTGCCAGGAATGTCTACATTGTTTATTCTGGATGATATTTATAAATTGGCAGTTTGTGTTAAATTGGCCAAATTACCAATTTATGATCACTTTATTGGGTGATTGAAATAGGTATATGGGCAGTTGTTTATACATACTCATTTGATAGAATGGAAGGAATATTAGCAAAATAGCTAATAGTTTGGTCATTTGGAACAGTGGAATTCACCTAAAATAGGACTCAACGTGGGTGAAAT